CTGAGTTATTGCACAGATCTTAAAATATAGCGTTGATAAATGGAAACATCGGCACATGTAGATATGTAGATCTTGAAAGTCGAGTTGTTCAAAACTTGAAAATAGCGTTGATAACTACACCAATTGTTGGTTGAGATGTTGTAAAGGAAATATCTACTGAAACTTTTCGCCAGACACTAATCATAGTAGAACCGTCTGGAAAATCATTTTAAGATCTGTGCAAGAACTCAGCTAACAGATATTTCCGCATATAAAAGCTATCTTCAAGTTTTGTACAACAAAAAAACTTTTCACATATGTACAGTCTTATATCAAAAGTTCAACTTGATTCTGAACTGAGTGAGTTGAGGGAAAAGACTAGACGCAAGTTTCACAGTAAATTGTTTGTTTGTTTGAAGTTAAGCACAAAGAGCTATATGTGCTCTGCTCACCACGGGTATCGAAATCCGGTTTTTAGCGTTGTAAGTCCGCAGACATACTGCTGTGCCACTGGGGGCTTCACAGTAAACAAAACCATTTTAATTATTCACCAAGCAGTTAATTCAGTTCAGTCCATAAATGTGTTCACTTGACAAGATGCTCATTCCTACCAGGATTCCATTAGTAGAAATTTCAGACTTTTCAGCTATTTTTAAAATGTTAAACCACTGATGAAACTAAAAACCCATTTGCACAAGTCTAAGAAATTCTCAACCGATGATTTCTGTGGGTGACACCATAAATATCAGAGGTAAATTAGCCATGACAACGTGTAACTGGCACAAGAGAAATACCATTACTTTTCAAACCCAGTTTGTTATGGATTTCGCGCAAAGTTACATTGTAAGACTAAAGGGAAGGCAAATAGTCATCGCCACACACCGCCAACTCTTGGGCTACTCTTGATTGACCGTAACATTATAACGCCCCCATGACTGAAAGGGCGAGCATGTTTGGTGTGACGAGGATTCGAATTCTCAGATTGCGAGTCAAGCGCCCTAACCACCTGGCCATGCCGGGCCTCCCAACAACTGTAGTTTTATTACTGATCTTGATAGTCTATCTATAACTCTCATTATCATCAGTAACATTAGCATTAGACCTGATATATCAAGAACATTAAAATATATTCTTAAAACAGCAAAAAGTAAAAGAAAAAATTCAACAATGGGTGAAACCAATAAACAAAGGAAAGAGGAATTAAGTCAACAAAAATGTTCTTACGATCTAAATAAAATAGCGTTCTCTGGTGGTTAGATGTTAAACTATAAATGTTTGGCGTGACGTGGACAGCTAAGCGGTTGAGGGAGGGGAATTTATGATAATATTAATAAGCTTATGTGTGATAATATTTACGAAATTCAAAGGCTTTGAATTTGAGTAAAAATATTAATAGTTAGGGTGTTCTGTACTAGTTAATGTTAGATTGTTGTTAATGTATTGGTAGGTTTTAAAATTTCTACATAATGAAGAGATTTCTCTGTATTGTCCTAGTACTTGGTATTTGCTTTCACTGTTGTGATACTGACGAACATAATCATCAGGTAAGCGAGTTTTTTAAGCAATTATACTAACGTTTAGTTCTACACGTAATTGTAATATATTTAGTAATTTGAACAAGTAGGATCTTACTGGAAGTACAATGCTATCTTAAGCAAGCACTAACTTAGGCCTAGCGTTAAGCGAGGTGAAAGAAATCATTAAGTTGATAATAAACTGTAAATTTTGTACAACTTTTTAATTTGTGTTTGATTATATCTAACTACTAACCTAAAGATAGAAAAAAATGAGGTCTACCACAAACATGTAGAACTCATAAAACTAGAACTAGAAGTGAAATTAGGACACAAATAAAGCTTCTAGTGGTCCCACTAACTCTTGTTTACATTTTTTTTAAACTTGGGTGTCTGTTACTGTTGGGCATTTGGACACAAGGTGTAGGCTAAAGTTAAACAGTAAAGGCAAAGCTGAACATTTTAGATATATGCTGGTCTTACTAATTAGCAAGAAGAAATGACAAGAAGTGTCAATATACTTGGTGACTCATTTTAATAAAAAGTAATATAAAATGACCAAATTTCCTGAAAAAATCTAAATACTAGAAATATTTAGGGATATCAAACTGTAGCAAACAAAAAATGTCAAGTATGACAGAATAAGATATCTGCTATAGTGATCTGCATTTACTAGTGATGAGAAGTGAGTATGATTATTGAATTTTTATGGTTTTATTGAATTTTGTCTAAAATATACATTTTATTACAATTGTATTTTTACTTATTTAGTTATGAGCTTTACATGACATTTGTATATTAGCCCCACGTAAATGGGTTTTACTTGTTTTGTTGAGATTCACAGGCCATGAGGGTTATAATGTACAATAAACATAATATGTAATTTTATATATTATTATTAAGAGTTGTTGGATTAGTTGGCTATATTTTTTATATTAATGATCTGTAATACAAGCTAATTATAATTCTTGAAAATTCGACTGCTATAATATCACATTTTTAAATATGTCAAAACTTCAATGTTTCTAAGTATATTAAGATTGTTTTAAAACCACTGCCCTCACATGTTACTGACTTTTTACTAAATTAAGTGTCTTGTCACTAAGTAATGAGAAAAGTATGTTCCACTCATTTATGTTTCAAGATACTAAATATTTTATTAACCTTTAAGTGATCCAGAGCCTGAAATCTTAAATACACTAATAAGGTGCTATAATGGCCATAATGTTGTTTTTACTCAGTCTTCAGAAAATGCTTATAACTATATATATTATTTTACCCACAATTAAATTCTGAAATTACAGTTCAGTTAATAGATGTATTCTTTTAGCAAGACTTCTATTAACATGATATTAATAGAAATTTCAGAGTCTTCAGGTATCTTTACAATTTTAAAACCAGTGATGAAACTAAAAATCCATATGCACAAGTCTGAGGATTTCTCAAATCACATATAAAGTCTACATCAACTCCAGAACAAACTTTTTTTATTGTTAAATGCTATTTTAATGACAATCTGTAAACTGTTGTAGTGTAGCTTCAGGCAGTGTGGGCCAATTGTAGGAACATTTTTGTGGACAGCTCCTGCTTCATGTTTATTGGTAATAATGGTTCTGACTCCGTGTTGAGTCCTTCTTCAGGCTTGGAGAGTTATTTTCTTATATGGCTTTTATAGTGCTGTGAAGCATGTTCCTGATGAAGTGAGAAACATTTCTTAAGATAATGAAAGACTCAGCATGAAAAGTGGTCACCAACAAACATGAAGCAAGAGTTGTCTACAAAAAGAAAAAAAACTTCCCCAAATGATATACATATGCATTATCTGCAAGTAAAATTATTTATATCAAATACCTGTAAAATTATCACTTTTAATTGTTACACACATTTTATCTTATCATATATGATCTTTGGATTTTAACACTGATACTTGTTTTTTTTAGCAAAGTCTAGGTCTACAAATTGTATTTCAGTTACTTTTAGTTACCATTGGAGTAATGTAGCAGATAACTTCTGGTTTAGAACAGAAGGCCTACTAAGCATTTTGCAGTGATCTTACTAACATTTCTCAAAAGCTTTTGTAATTTGAAAGCTTAGAATGTTAACTGTTAAACCATAGCATCAAACATGTTGTTTCATCACTTTTCTGAGTATAAAGTAATTTACTTATACTGGGAAGTATATTATTTTTGTTTGCTCTTTGTTAGTATGAAGATAATGAAGAAGTGGTACTTTGGATGAACACTGTGGGACCCTATCATAACAGACAAGAAACATATGCCTATTTCTCATTACCCTTCTGCTCTGGGCCAAAAAAAAGCATTAGCCACTATCACGAAACACTTGGTGAAGCACTTCTGGGTGTAGAGTTAGAATTTAGTGGACTAGACATTGACTTTAAAGGTGAGAATTTAGTCCTTTATAGTTTTTTTTATACAAAATAAAAATGCCAACAAAGTAAAATAAGGAGCCATTGATAATCTTCATTTATTTTATTACGATATACATATTTTTGTATGGCCAAGTCAACTTTCAATTTACAGTGCTAATCCTAGAGACCTTTCTGCTGTTCTTATTTCTTTTTTTCTCTCAGGTATGTTCTATATTTCCCCATACTGAACCTATTTAACTTTATACGTAAGGGTACATGTCATGAATCGTGAGATGATTTTTTACTCAAATCTTTTATATCTGCTGTCTCATGTTTTGGGGATTGTGAATATTTTAAAAAACTAACTGTATTTCTGCACTTCATATTTGTCTTCTTCTCTTCCTTCCAAAGTTTTGACTCTCAGTTTAGTTGTTGTATAGGTTTTCCAATTGTTTTTTACTTTGACTCATCACACTATGATTTGTCTTGTTCTCCTTATTACTCATGATCACACACATTTTTTTACATCTTTATTACCCATAGGTCTCACTATTGTTTTTTGTACTACTACATGATTCCTACGTTATTTGACACTTTGGTCCATCGGGTTATGTTGCAAGGTACTCAGCCTTTAAGCAGATGACCTCCACATACACAAACAAACATTTTAAAAATATTTAAACTGTTTAATTTTTGTCTTTGTGAGTATTTCACTTTAACTTTGTTCAAGGAGTTGGACCTGTGGAGTAAATTTTTACAATAATGTTTGAAGTTAATATATGTATCTTCTTAAAATTTAGCAAACTTTTAGTAAACATTACAAGTCTGTTGTACACAAAATATCACAATTTTTAATGAAGTATTTTACCTGAATATATGTCTGTCAATTTCTGGAAACTTTATGGAGTTAGTCTGACTCAGACTGTAACTAGACTGAGTGAATCGTGATTTTTGTGTGATAGATGGTTACCGCTGATTTTATTGCCTGTTATTCTACCTATTCTGAATGACTCTGATTCTACTTCTGACATTTGTTTTCTGTCTGGTCAATTTTTTATTGTTGTTGTTGAAAGAATGGAATCTTTTCAAGGAATCAACATTGGTTGCTTGTTTGTTCGCTTTATGATATTTTTCATTCCACAGATCATGTTCCATATACATTTATTATTTGGTTTGTGTTGCTTATCCGTCTTGTTCCTGACCACCTTAAGTGTGAATTTCAGGTTACATCTCATCAAATTTGCTATTTCTTTTGTCTCCTGGTTTCTGTATCCTTTAATGAATATCTTAAAAGGAAGCATGAGAGCAAATCTGCATATGTTTTTTTTATTGTAACTTTTATCAAATCACTGTACTATAGATTTCAGGATTACATTAGTCAGTCTGGTTCAGAGCACTGTAAGTCTGCTGTACACAAAATATCAGAATAGTTAAAGTATTTAACCTAAATATTTGTCTGTCAGTTTCTAGAATGGAATCTTTATGGAGTCAGTCTGGCTCAGACTCTTAACTATTTTGAGTAAAAGGTGATTTTTGTGTGGTAGATGGTTACTAATGTTTTTCTCCTATTATGTTACTTACTCTGACTGACCCTGATTCAGGTTTTGACAACTGTTTTCTGTGTCTGGTCAGAGCATTTGATCCTTTTTTTTTTGTAAGAATGAGATCTTTTCAAGAGAATCAACATTGTTTGTTTTTCCACTTTGTGATGTTCTTCATTCCACAGATCTTGCTTCACCTACATCTATGTATTGGTTTGTGTTGCTGATCCATTTTGTTCCTGACCACCTTAAGTGTGAATTTCAGGTTATATCTCATCACATTTGTCATTTCTTTGGTCTTCTGGTTTCTTTATCCTTTAATGGATATCTTAAAAGCAAGCATGGGGGAAATCTGATTGTTTTTGTTATTTTATCTTTTATCACATCATTGTATCATCAGTTTCAGGGTTCCATTACCACCTGTGGCTATTATTCCAGTCTCGATTGAATCCATCTCCTGTTAGATTTGTATATTCTACCCAACACCCATTCTTAACCATATCTAGGGTATTGTGGATTGTGAATAATTGTGATTTAAAACCAAAGAGTAATAAAAAACAAAAGATACCATAATGCATGGAGAATTTAATTGTATTGATTCATCCAGTCAGGACTCTTGCATCAATCTCTAACCTCTGTGTTTGTCCTGGGCAACCCAAGTATTTCTATTCTGGCCAGTACTCCTATTCACAAATCTTGAGAAGCCTAAAGTTGTGATATTTTATAATATATATAACACAAATGTGTTGGGATTCTTGTATGTCACATAAACCTTGTTTGTCTTAGGGGAACACTCCACTCTCTATGCTGGAGCTTCATGAGCATTAGAGATATTGGGAAGGGGACTACCATTATCACTAGATGTCACAGCTCCAGCCAGGACAGGGATCACCTGTGTTTTTATTATTCATTAATTCTTAATGTTTTGATGTCCCCATTGTACTGTCATGATGTTGTTGAGCCTGTTCTTAAGGACCGCTTGGGTCTTTCTTCAGTTTTTCCTGAGTACCCACCAGTTTGACCAGTTGTGTGACTCACTGGCCATTTTTAGAATGGCTGAAGAGGTGCTTATGCTCGTAATATATGTTCTTTCATATATGTCTTATATTGAATCTATGGGGCCAACTACTGGACACAGATGGCAAAAAAAAAGACAGGTAGGATGAATACCACACCCTGCTCCTGTAGTATAAGGTTTTTGAGGAAGCAGTTCCTGTTACTGCTCACAAAATTGACTCCCTTTGCCTGAATTAATGGTACACCATAGCCAAAAAAAGTACCCTATTGAGAAGAATGTCTTCTTTCTGAGTGTTCTTTAGGCCCATTCGTTTTATAAGGCCCTGTCTGCTCCACTCATCCTCCCTCAACTCCAGTTCTGGATTCTACTGGGATTCTACATGACTGCATATTCCTTGTAGTTTAGATCATTATCTTCCTGCTTTGTAGCTTATCATTTACATCTTCATTGGTTCCCACCTCCTTTACAATATATATCTTCTGACCTTCAGTATATCAGAGGTAAACTTACCTGATTGAATTTTACATTTTTAGAGTTAAAATGAATTTCAAACAGATACTTGCCTCTGAAATACCTTCCTTCCCAACTCTCAATAACCAAATTTTCATAATGACTGCAATTTTCAATAAAATATTTTGGCAGGAAAGCAAAGCATATGTGAGATCCCCTGATGGTGGGAGAGCAGAGAATTATGGGAAGTGACACATGCTTTTTAATGCATAAATTCAGAAATTTTAGTCACATGTTTTATTAACAGCGTGAATCCAAACTGAACTAGGAAATGCTTTCAGTGTTTCAGAGGTAAGTACACCTGTTTGAGATTCATGTTAATTTTAAAAATGTAAAATTTAAACGTCACACTGAAGTAAAATAGACAAGTAAGGGCAGAGCCTGTGGTTGCATTTTTTTCCTAGTTTTATGCTAATTTTGTTTGATTTCCAGGGGTTTCAAGTTATTGTGCTATTACTAGTGGGTTTCTATTGTTCCCATGCTTCTGTTTGTGTCAAGTGTCTAAGCTACTACTAATTGGATTTTAATTGGGGATTTCATTTAGGCTCCTATTCTGCTGTTAATTGGTTTCTGGCAATCTCAAGTTACTGTTAGTTGGATTCTATTGATTTGCCTCCTAGAGTATTTCTAGTTAACATTATTGGTCTCATCTTTTATGGCATAGTAATTGATATTAGATAGTCTTAGACTCGTACTTTCTGGTGCTTTCAGACTTGTAGGATACTACTTGTTGGATTCTGGTAGGCTTAAGTTTGTACGTTTCTACTTGATAGTTCATAATGATTCTTAGGTGCTTATGTTTCTAGTTATCTCGTGCTGGTAGAGTGTTGTACTTAAATTTGTAGTTCTAAGGCTTCTTATATACTACCATTGGCCTAAATCTAATTTATCAGTTAAGTTGCACATGAAAATAACAAGCAGAAACTGTTAAATATATGGAATGTAGGAGAAAAAATAATTTGCCTTTTCTTTTTTTGTCTATTTTTTAATTATATTGCTATATAACTTTTTTTTTTGCATTAGCAGTTTCTTACTGATTTTATTTTTTAAAACTATTTTTCAATTTATACAGCAAATGTTGCCAAAACTCAGTACTGTGAAGTGGAGATCACTGATGAAATACTTCTTGCTTTCACTTATGCAGTTAAAAACCACTACTGGTACCAAATGTACATAGATGATCTGCCAATCTGGGGTTTGTGTAAAAATCATTTTGTAGTTAATTAAAAGATGAAATTTTTTTATTCAAAATGAACTCATTATGAAGACAATATATTACTTCGGTCTTGTTGATTATGTGAGTTTAGTTTTAGTTCTTTTTTCCATGCTTTAATGTAGATTTGAATACGCAGTTTAGTTAATGGTGCGAAATTTAATTTATGTTAAAGAAAACTTCAAAAAGTTGTTCTATAATGTAAAATAATAAGGTTTTATTAGTGAGAAACCAAAATTTACAGTTTTTCTGTATGAAATAATTATGTGTTTGTGTTTAAACTGTTGGTGAAATTATTTTGTTTGTCAAAGCTGAAATAAAAAATTTCTGTGGTTAAATTATCTTCTCCTAGCTTTAAACAAAATAATTAAAATAAATTGTTTACATTTCATGTAAAGTCAAGAAATCTCGATAAGGCACTCTGCTGTACTTACATCATACAATATAGCTTATAATACCCCCTTAAATCTTTCCTATTTTAGTGATCTGTTTTGTTATTTTTTCTTTGTCTATCTTTACTTGCATAAACCAAAAAAGCTTTGTTTTGTTTGATTCACAAAAAATATAAATGCACACAAATTAATCTGTGAGAAATTAAATTTGAAGCTTACTGCAAAAATTCTGGTTAAAAAGTATAAAAAATAAATAAAAAATTAAATGTATTAGTGATTCTTATAACATTTCTTGTAGTTTTTCTTTAAAATAGTGAAGCAGTAGTTATTAAGTAATGCAAAAATAGACTTCATTAACAAACACTAACACTAATCTTCAGAGCTTAGAAAAAAGGTACTTACAGTACGAGGTAAGAATATTCTGATGTTTTTTATTTTTGAAGTATTTTGTCAGTTATTTTAGTAGAAATAGAAGTTTTACACTTTGCATAGAATTAATAAAAGTGTATTATATTTTCATTACATTATTTATAAACTAAATCCAAATACATTTATTGTTCAAAAAGTATTCAAGCTACCCATGATAGAATTGTAATATATATTTTGAATGAGAAATTACAGTAACAATTCATGAAGAATGACATTATATTTTTCAAATAAATAGTTTGTGTACTAAGTAAGTTGCCTTTCTGCATGTTTTTGTGGTTAAAGGTATTGTTGGGGAGGTGGATGAATCAGAAAATGCATTTTATATGTGGACTCACAAAAAATTTGAAATTGGATATAATGGAAAAGCCATTGTGGATGTTAACTTGACAAGTGAAGCCAAAGTGAAGCTGGAAAAGGGGAAAAAGTTAACATTTTCTTATGAAGTAAGTGTTAATGTAAGAGGTATTATATAACTTTTGTTGTATGTCAGTATAGTTTATCTGTTAGTAATATAAGAGTATCAGTGGATGCATCTACTAATAATGTTACATGTAATTTGTGTTATACAGAGAGTCTTGAAATTGTTAACAATTTATTGTCTGATGAGATGACATAATTTCTGGACAACTTTTGTGTATATCTGTTAATGTAGAGTAGCAAGTTAGCTCAATCACAAGAAGTGCCATTGTATACATAGGCCGAGTACATTTTATTAGCCCCCCAGTGGCACAGCGGTATGTCTGCAGACTTACAACGCTAGAAACCGGGTTTCGATACCCGTGGTGGGCAGAGCACAGATAGCCCATTGTGTAGCTTTGTGCTTAACTTCAAACAAAAACATACATTTTATTAAAACAGTTTTGAACGTACAAATCAACAAGTTATATGTTAACCACAGCCAATATATAATGTCATGGTGGAATAGAATGTATCAGAACTACATTTTGTAGATAGTGGTGCTACCAAAAATTTATTACTTCTAGGAAGTGTATGTAACAGTTCTTTCTAATGCAAAATATTCATACACTCAGATCATAAAAGTGTGTTCAAATTGGGGATTTAGAATATGAAGTTGGGGATATCCCTTGTACTTAATGTCAATGGAAAAAAAAAAAGGAAAAAGATGAACTTGATTATCCAGAAAGAAACCTGCAACAACTTTTACCACAATCAGGGGAAACAAAATATAGCATCAAGGTGAGATTTCACAAACAGAAAGATAAGTTACAAGCACTGTCTACATTTTCCAAGTAACAGTATGCAACATACTCAAGAAGGATCTCCATGTGGACAAATGACAAAATTGTACACATGTTGATTCCACATCGTATCTATTCAACCATCACATATCTCAAGCAGCTGGAGAATGAAATGGATATTTATGCTATTCCATATGAAGGCATACCAGTTAAGTCACCAGATACAACACTTGTAGATTTCTGTATGTGGTCAGTCTATTGAAATAGGAGCTGGGAAACCATCATTCTCATACACTAGTTGGATTGTGGAAAACCTGAAGGCAAGAATGCTTTGGAAATTCCAGCCTTACAATGGAGTCTTTTCCAATAAAAACTATACTGTAGGGCTACTGTCAGGATCATGGTTGTCAGATAAAGCATGACCAGTTGTGATGACATGTACTTTAACAATGTGTTGAGACCCCTAAGTCATTGTAATATAATGTACTCAACCTCTGTAGTAAATTGGCTGATATTTGATTAAGTGCCAGTGGTACTTTAGCTAGTGACTTGTTCATACATAGTTTTGATAACCATTTACTTGAAAATTACAACCCAGTATTTTTTTATAACCATTAAAATCAAGTAAATTACCTAAAGCTTAGAAAATTTCTGTCTCTAAGCATTCAAAATCTCACACACGCATCTATGCCCATCAAAAGCAAGTTCCATAATCCTTTAATCCTATGTGCATAGATAGGGATCAAAGTGTGCATGCCCTAATCTTGTACAAAATGCAATTCAACATGGTATTTTGCATTTTATGTCGGAGTTATCAACGTTTCATGTTACTAAATATTGCTGATTTTGCAAAAGTTTGTGTTAGAATAGAGAAAATATCAGATAAAGTATACAGAGATACTGAAAAAAACATTAAATATGCATTTAGGAGGTTTTGGAATTTGTACAAATATTATTTGTAAACTGTACAATGGACAAAAGTATTTTTATTCTTCACATAAACATAATCTTGCATTCTGACTTGTCAGAGTCTGAGTCAGACCGAGTTTGGCATTTCACAAACAAATCTTTAGTACAGAAACTTTAGTAACACATCTGATTTGTTGTGTACAACAGACTTGCCACATTTTGTGAAGACACACTTCCTAACTCACAATTGTAACCAGAGGTACCTCTTCAGTTGGGTGTCGGTCCAATGGGCTCCATGCCCATTCAGTTAATATCATTTTTATACATTTTATTCAAATAGTATAAGATTATCATATCTTAAACTTTGCTGGTTCATAAATTGAAATTTGCATTTTTTGAGCTATTAATAAAGAATTTAATGCATTGAGACCATAATATGTTCGTCAGAACACTCCCCCTTGGTGGGCAGAGCATAGTCAACCCATTATGTAGCTTTCTGCTCAACAACAAACAAACAAATCTTCGTAAAACTGAAATTAACCCTTTTTTGGACTGAAAGGGTGTCACTAAAATCCCCTTATTGTTTTTCCTTCTCCCACTGGGAATAAATACATCACAGTATGAAATTTAGTACAAACTTATTAAAGTTTTAAAAAAAATCGTATAATTTGATTTAATATTTCTAACCTTTCTTTGGTTTTCAAATTTCCCATGTTTTGTTGTGAGACACTTTTGTGAAAAAAAACATAATCGTTCCTTTTATTGTTGCTCTGAAAGTTCCATTCTACACATGCAATAAATTTCAACTTGATTGGTATTTTTTAGCATATTTCTCTTGATAATTTATTTTGCCATTTGTAATAGTTCCTAATTCTGTTGTAAATCATAAAAACATGGCAAAAGTAGAAAGATTTATCAGTGACCTTGAACTTTACTGTTTAAAAAGGTCAGTGTGCACAAATAATATTCAATAAATATATTTGAGTCAGTGTAATATTTTACCATAAAATATTGTTAAATCTAACTAAATTTATCTGATGTCAGACAGATGTAATTGAACACTAAAACATTTTTAGGAATGAAAAGAACATTCAAAAAAGTGTAAAAAAACAATCTCGAGATCTCAAGTTTCCTTTACATTTCTTTGTCTAACGGAAGCTCCAGCTAGTCACTTTCAAGAAATTACTGTTCAAGCCAGTTTGATATATGTATGGTACGGCGGTAAGTCTACGGATTTAGAACGCTAAAATCAGGGGTTCGATTCCCCTCGGTGGACACAGCAGATAGCCCAATGTGGCTTTGCTATAAGAAAAACACACACTTGATATATGTAATTCATAATTGTTCTAGCCCAGTGGTTCCCAACCTTTTCTCCACTAAGGATCCCTTTTATTATAATTTTTTCCCCTACAGACCCCATGTTTTTGAAAGATTCCGCCTACCCAACAAACTGTTTTTATTAACTAATAATTAACTCATTCTCCCACTTTTCACTATCAAATAAAAGACACATATAACCGAGTGTGCAATTAAAAAAAACATCAGTATTAAAAAACTTACTTGTATTACCTATGCAGACCCCAGGTTGGGAACCACTGTTCTAACTAGTGGTATTTAGCCATTGGCTTGAGCTATTGTCAAAGCTGAGTTTCATTGGTAATTTTTCAAACCACAGAGAATAAAATCATGTGAAAATAAGATATAGATTATTGTATTTTCAAAGGATGGTAGTTTCTTAACAAATATATAAATATTTACTTTGGAATAGGCAGAACAATTACAAAAAAAAATGTTAAAGGTGTTGTTTACAGGTGATGCTCTGTGGGGCTGGGGAGAAATGAATATTGTAATATTTTATTCATTTTTATTTTAAAATTAAATAAATGTTACATAAAATAATAAAAAGTACCAACAATAAAAATATTTTTAAGTTAAAAAAACTACAGAAATAGGGCTATAATTACTATTTTTCTTGCATTTTGAGATTTGATATGCAGGTTAGTGAATTTGACACTTGAAATTTGTTCTGTAGTCCAGATAACATTAAATGATGCTGATCTTTAATATAAAAACAGTTTCATTATCTCTTTGTGGTTCAACCCTAGTGGCACAATGCCGAAACTAAATGCTGTATGTGGTTTCACTCCTGGCACTACAAAATTTGTGTGCACAAATATTCCAAATACTGTTAAGTTGGGATACACCTTGGATGAGAGCATTAGCATAGTGTCGTGTAAAATAACCGATTATTCAGAATCACATATAAATAGATTGATGTCATGAAAATAATTGACTAATATTAGTATTCCTAATTATTATTATGTTCAGTTATTCCAACTATCCAAAGAATTGAAATATTTCATTATGATTTCTCGTTATTATTTTTGATTAATTCAAGGTTGTTCACTATTATTTATTTGTGTAATAAGTAGTGAAAAATAATCAACTAATCAAAATAAGTGTTTCTGATTATTACCATTCTTGATTATTCTAATTATCCAAATCTTGTGTAAGAATAATTAGTTAATCAACCTAATGACAGCCACTAATTGCCCAAATGTACTATGGTATCTGGTGTGGCACTGTAATATATCTTATGTGGTGGCATATTTCAGATTTGTATAGCTGTCAATATGTTGAAGAGTATCTGTTTTATATGTGACTGTGGGTGCAATATGAAGTGATAGTAAAAGAAATGTGCCAATCATGGAAGTTGTTTCGTATTAATTTTGCTAATGTTTTATTAAGTTTATCTGAAATAAATCTGTCATATACTGTTTCACTGAGGAGAAAACTCATGCTTCCTTTATGAAACATTTTTTGGTTGGGGGTATATTTTATTTGAATGCACAAAGTTTATAAAATTTAAAAGCAATGCTGCGTATTTAAAGCAATTTAAACAGTTGAGTGACCTGCCAAGATTACTCATGAATGAGGTTAGGTACATAGAGTTCTGAATGAATCTGACAGCTGTATGGGGCATCTCATTGACTGCTAGGTTGTTAAACCTAAGTAGAATAAACCTATTCCACAACACAATACCCACCACACGTCTTTAGTAAAAGAGACACTTTGAACCAAATGGTCTGATCACAAATGACAAACTGATTGACTTGTCTGGTAAAACATACCAGATCTATCGACATTTTCAAACTTTGAGCACTGGGGGCAAGTATTAAAACTCAGTGCTGTTGCTCCCATGGCGATGGTACTGCTGCTCTAAGTATCTACAAACAAATAAAGAAATTCACATACAAAAGCTTAACACGTAAACACTGCTGTCTGAAATGGGGCTCTGAGGGATGACAGATCATTTCCCAAATACCTTTCCCTTTGCAATGCATAGTGTTGTCTACACCCATCTCTCCCTTATGCATATAGTGAGTTGTCCATACTTCCTATTTCATTTTTGCATATATATACATACATACATATATGGATTATAGTATATCTGTTGATCTTTTGTGGTATTTTTGTGAAGCAAGTCAGCTATTAAGTTTGCTTTTTTTAACTGTTTTTTATGAATGGTCTGTAATTAACCTGTTTTACTAAATTTGAAGCTGTATAATCTCATTGGGATTATTTTTTTCAAAATGCTGTAGCTATAATTCAGTCTAGTATAAAATTGATGTTCCTTCAAACCAGTTTTGTTGACTCTGGTTACTTTTAACCTCTGCAGTTTTATGCAGCAAGATTTAATGTGATAAGTATGAAAAATTGTAATTTTATTTCTAGGTTATCTGGAAAACATCACCAATCAAGTTCGAAGACAGATTTGATAAGTATCTGGATCCAAATTTCTTCCAACATAGAGTAAGTTCTGTTTTGTTACAACATGAAATAGTTGTAATATTACTCCAATGAAAATTATAGAACTATTAACTGAAGCTTTTTATAATAATCATAGTTACATTCCAGTGTAGCTAATGTTGTTGAGTCTAGTTGGTATGTATTTATCTTTTTTTTTTCCATTGAGCTGGTATGTCGTAGAATAGATTTATTTGTGAAAAGATGGCAATTTATTTCTCAAACTAATGAGTAATGAACCAAAATAACCATATGGAAGTTTAAAAGTTTACATGTATGAAAAATAAAATTATCAGGCTGAACTATAAGCATTATATGTTATAGTGTTAAGTGTGGCATTATGGTTCTACCATTGGACAAATAATTTGAAGATATTTTTCCCCTTTTGAACACAATTAATGATATCATATATTCAATATTACTTTGAAACTGCATTTTGCCTCCAAAAATGTGTCTGTGTTGAAGTATAGTTAATGTTTATTCTACATACATACATATAAACTATAATTTTTAAAAGTTACTTTTATGCTTTGAGCAAACTGCAGGTTTTTTTTCAAATAAAATCTAAAAATATTGTATGTAGCAGCTTCTAGAGTAAGCTTTCATGTGGTAACTTGAGACACCACTAAGATCATCACTGATTGTCATGGAAACCCTGAATGGAATATCTCAGGTTATCGAGTTTGCTATGAATGTTTTTACATCGATATTAAAATCTAAATTACCTTTCTAACATTATTATTCATCACGATAACCTTTAAGTGTAAAAATATTGCCAGCTTTTGTTGAAGAAGTTTATATCAAAATGAATATTTTGTTGAAACAGTCTTGTCATGTGGTATAACTTATGTTGGGATGTCATATGTAATGTTTGTGGATTAACAAGATTTTCATAAGTATCAATTCTGTTGATGTAGATTCACTGGTTTTCCATTTTCAACTCATTCATGATGGTGATTTTCTTGGTTGGTTTGGTGAGCATGATTTTGATGAGAACACTAAGGAAAGACTATGCTCGTTACAGTAAAGATGAAGAAATGGATGATATGGTAACTTCCTCAGAATTAACAACGTAAAATATGTTTACCATTTTCTGTCATGTTTTTTATTCTTACTAATGCTTAAAAATATTTAAGAAATAGAATTACTTTTAACAGATTAGCTGTAAATCCCTTATTCCATTTTTTAACTTATAATGATATAACTAGATTTGTGTGGATAAATCAGACTCAAGTTGGGTTAACATTTACTGTTGCAGAAAAATATATCTTAAATATGATTAGATATAACGTAAGCATCATTTTCTGTTTTAGAATATTAGATAAAAGTACAAGAAATTTCTTTGACATTTGAAATATGTCACAGGAACGTGATCTAGGTGATGAATATGGCTGGAAGCAGGTTCATGGTGACGTCTTCCGTCCTCCATCACACCCATTAATTTTCTGTGCATTGGTGGGATGTGGCTACCAGATTGCTATTGTTACTCTATCTGTAATTATATTTGCCATTTTAGGAGAACTATACACAGAGTAAGTACTACTTAGAATATAATTTTCATTGCTTTAAGTGTTATAAGTAATTGCTTAAAAGTTCTTGTAGATTGGTCATAAATCTGATTAATCATACATGATCTGAAATGCCTTATGAAAGTGACATACAGTTCTTGTTACACTTAATGATTACAAAAATAATTGTAACATGTGTTACTCTGTTGTTAAATTGTGCAAGTTTATTTATCTTTCCCTTACCTGTATATTCTCCTGCGCCACTGGACAATGCATATAATAATTTTTCCTGTGGCTCAACTTTTAGGTAATTTTGTGTATTAGAGAAGCTATAAAAACTTAATTGTTGATATGTTGCTGAGTCATTACAGATTTAATTTTGTGGATGTTAAAAGAAGTATCTGCATTTTTCCCTTCAGGATCTTACAAGTGATATAAAGAAACTGTCTGTACTCTCTTGTAATTCCTCACCGTTTTCTTATCAACAGGAGGGGTTCCTTATTAAGCACAGCAATATTTGTATATGCAGCTACGTCCCCTGTGAATGGTTACTTTGGTGGTAGCTTATATTCTCGTATGCAAGGTAGGTCTGTTGTCAAATTCTGTACATCCCACGTCACATGATGGGATGTGTTGTGTCTCAGTTGGAGTGGCATCTGTATTATCAAAGAGGGACAATAATTAGGTTTAAAATTTTAAACCATTAATAACTTGATTGATTGAAGTACTATGTAGTTTGTCTGAACCTTTTACTTATTCTTATTATATAGTAAACAGGCTAAAATTCCTGATAATAAATTTTGGTTTTGTTAAAGAAATCTCTGTACTTATATTGAGACAGGAACAGATTCTGAAGAGTTGGTGTGATAGATTTATTTTTAGAACAGAATTTGCAGGTAGTATTGCTAATATATTCCCACCAGTCATTCACTCATTGTCACTCGTAAATAAAACTCATAAGTGCTGATAGTGAGAGTAATTTTAATCTTTACAGTGAGGTTTTTAGTGAAAATTTCAAAGTAATTTAATCTGCTTATCAGGGTTATCCTCATGCAGTTTTAACAAACTGCAGCTTGTGTAGCTACTACTAACTCTATCTAAGGTATTGCTTTTTTGTTTTGTGAGCAGTGTATATATATATGACCACCAAGTTTGTTTTGTTTCTCCTTCAGCAGCATCACATATCCTCATTGCATTTGCTTTTAAAACTTTTTTTCAAAGAGTTAGATATTTGGCCAAAAAAAAACAATGAACGTGGTGTAAGAAAAGTGTATCTCCTTTCAAATTCAGAGTCGTTGCATATTTGTTGTTACGACTTTAAGATTTGTAAATTTAGTAAGTTGATGATAAGCATATTGTAATGTCCAAATAATTAAAGTGATCCAGCCCTTCTTTCAAAAGAAAGGTAGCAATAATATTATCTCAATACTAATGGTGGACACAGCATAGATAGTCTATTATGTATCTTCGTGATTAACAACAAACAAACCTTTAGACATGTGGAAAGTATCTCATTTTCATAGTCTTCACTTATCCTGAGGAGTGATGCTGCTTTCCAGGTTTTAAAGAATTAATTCTCCCTGTAGAACATTTTCCATATCTGCCAGAAGCATTTCGTGCCGAAATTATCCATCTTTTTATCTGTCCACACTTTATGCTCACATATAAGAAAACCAGTGTATATTGTACTTCCATTGTCCATTTATCAACAACAGTAAACATGATTATACAATTCTTTTTAATCGATAAAATCAACTGGCATACTAGACCATCATGTCCACTACTTAAAATTTGTGGTTTGTTTTTTGTAAAAGAGTTTTGATCAGTTTATAAGCATTCTGCAACTTGGTAAGATGTATTTATCATTAACACCTTGCTGCCATGTGCCCCACCAGTATATCACAACTGACTTTTAGTTATGGACCATGTGACACACCAATGGGTCACAGACAATTATGTTTCAAAGCCAAATTTTGCTTGTTGAATATGAGTTTGGGACGCTGTGACTGCTCCTTGGTAGCTCTTGAATGTTTTTTTTATACTTGATTTATTATGCAGCAGTAAACGTCTTAAGAGGCAATAAAGAAATACTTGTATTGAAACTTTAATCTCTTTGTGTTTTTATTAAGCATTTATAGTATAAGTAGAAGGAAAACAAAAATTCCTTTTGCTGGGTTTTCAAATGTTATAGGAATTAGAAGGAAATGTTATATTCTTATTATTGTATTTAAATTGATTGTACTGAATTTAGTATTAATTAGCAGAGTATCTTATTGCAGGAAAACAGTGGATCAAGCAAATGATGCTAAGTGCATTCATGTTGCCTGCTTTGATTTGTGGAACTGCTTTCCTTATCAACTTCATAGCTATATACTACCATGCATCTCGTGCCATACCTTTCGGAACAATGGTTAGTGGGATGAAAATCTTATCTCTAACTCAAGAGCTATAAAACAGTGTAGTGTTTCAGAATACAAGTTACACGATGTGCATTTTCTTAGTGGTATACTGCAGATATGTTTGCAGTGTCATACCTCAATATCAGTTATTCCTCTCTCATGAATAGTGTGTTGATATAAGTTGAATATAGTGTATTACTTGGATAGTTTTAGGTAGTGTGCATTAGATAAGCTTATATTTAAAAAACAATTTATTACAGAAAAGCAGTCTTTCATGTCACACACAAGTAATTAATGGGGAGATACTTGCAAGTTGGTTACTTTGAAAGATTTTGACTTGTAACCAGATTGTTAGTCGTACAAGATGTGATAGGAAAGTAAATTATAAATTTTACTTTGAAATTTTATGTGTATATATATTTCCAATTAATAAATTAATATTAAGTAACAATAGGTCGTTTTAAGATTCTAAATACTATACTTGAAAAATAATAACAGAACATTGAGAGGTCTTCTTAAAGTTATTGTTACTCAGCGATATTCCCTTAAACTTTTGGCAAAGAATAACTTATCAGTTTTTATGGTTTGTTCATAAAATTCAATTGTAACAAGTTTTCATGTAACATCTGTACTGTGACATTATTCATGGTAAAAAAAAACACACCTAGGATCAAAACAGTCTGATCAGTCACATAAATAAGAAACAAACAGTGCCACATTTCACCATGTAAACATCTTCTTCAGGAGTAAAAGAAGATATTATTACTATTAGTATTACTTATAGTAATACTGTGTACATGTGTATGGAAGCACATTATGTAAATATAATAGGAATTTGACAAATAATGATTTATAATCATAATGAAATTGTTTTATTTTGGGGGACATACTGCATGTTTCGACAGAATATTGGTCTGTCTTTTTCATACATGAAGAAATGTGTAGTATGTTGCCCAGACTTGAAATTATTAAACTATTGTTTGTCAATTTCTTTTTTTAGTACTACATATAAACAAGTCATGGGTAACATTTTTCAACAGGATTAACAATGCTTGGTTGGCTGACTTGCTAAATGATACCTAAGAATTACATCTTTTTTTTTTAAAAAAGAAAATCAGATTTGGTTTGTCTGGTGCTCTTTTGTTTCATCTCATACTTGAGTCTTCCTTTTAATACACTCATGTGCCTGAACAGTGATTTAGTCCACAAACTGGTGATGATTGTGCTTGTGTTGCCAAAGTCTGAGGAAAAGATTTGTTTTTTAATGCTTGAAAATGTTTAATATTTGAAAATTTTCTTCTCTCACTCATGGTCAAATAATGTTTCTAAACTAACAATGAGACAGGGAGGTTGTCTTTAAGAACTTGTTTAGGGACTCTCATGTCGCAACTTACAGTAGACATACACAGGTTAATCATCTGATTAAAAATAAAGTACCAAGTAGAAAAAATGTTGTCACAGTACCAGTTGTGCAAACATGCTGTTTTCAATTTGTTATTGAAACTGTATTGTTAAGGAAGCCCCAAGGTTCATTGTTACTGAATCAGTTGTTGCTTTAGTAAATTCTCTGTAGCATTATCATGAGAGAAACGTCAACTGAGAGTAGGATGGTGTGCTTCTTAATTTTTAAAAGCTATTAAAGTAACATTGAATGAAATGTTAAATTTTTAGGTTATTAAATTATAAAATGAAAAGTTAACCTTAGAATGTGTTCCTTACATACTTTTAGATTGTTACAATGTAACATCTAGGGAAGTTAGACTTGCATTATGATGATGACAAAACTTGTCGAAATGTTGTACATTTGCTGTTATGTTAAACTTATATTAAAGTTTTTCTTCATTACCCATTCAAGCCATCTCCAAGCATTAATATATCTTCAGTGTTTTTCATGTTATTTTTATTTATGAAAACATTTTTTGAAGATTCTAAGATATTTGTATTTGAATTGTCCACCCAAATGAAATTCACTTGCAAGATGTAAACTTGATACAAAATTATTCATTAGATAAAATTTCTTTTTATCAACTTTTTTTGGTTTCAATTACCACAGTTTATAAGTACTTGTTCTTAAGAACTTAATATTCAATTTTATATTATGTTGTAAGACTAAATGTTCATGCTATTGGAAGTTGAAGAAACAAAAAAAAAGTTGACACATTTTTCTGGTACTGTCATATTTGTTTTATCAAATTAAAGGTACTTTTACTTTTAGGTTGCAGTAACTTGCATTTGTCTGTTTGTCATCCTGCCATTGACACTTGTGGGTACCGTGCTGGGACGGAACTTAGCTGGTCAGCCCAATCACCCATGTCGTATTAATGCTGTACCAAGGCCAATCCCAGAGAAAAAGTGGTTCATGGAGCCATTGGCTATTGTCATGCTGGGAGGGATCCTTCCATTTGGGTCCATTTTTATTGAAATGTGAGTAGTACTACCGAAACTCAATCTGTTTCACTCTATGATGTTGTTAATTTGGACTTTCATGCTTTATTATTCAAACTCACTGGGTTTCACTGTATAAACATGTTAATTTGAACCTTCATACAGTATTACTCATTCATTGGGTTTCACTGTATAAACATATTAATTTGAACTTTCATACAGTATTACTCATTCATTGGGTTTCACTGTATAAACATGTTAATTTGAACTTTCATACAGTATTACTCATTCATTGGGTTTCACTGTATAAACATGTTAATTTGAATTTTCATACAGTATTACTCAAACTCATTGAGTTTTACTTTATAAACATGTTAATTCAGTTTATCACTTAGTAACTGCTAAACATGTTGAATTTTGGTTTTAGGTACTTTATATTCACCTCCTTTTGGGCCTACAAGATTTACTATGTATATGGGTTCATGCTGCTTGTGTTTCTGATCCTGGCAGTTGTCACTGTGTGTGTTACCATTGTTTGCACTTACTTTCTCCTCAATGCTGAAGACTATAGATGGTAAGAATCTTGACTTTTTGCATTACCTTACATTTTTTAATATATATTTATTATGAAGCTTAACTGAGTACTGTGTGTAGTTTTAACTCTCGCTACAGGCTAGGACGAGTTTGTGATCCCAAATTGACCTTTATAGTTTCTGTATTATAACTTTTAATATTTTTTGTGTATCTTCATGAAATTTCCCAAACTTTCAGTAACCATTAAGAGTCATTTGTAGACAAAAAATTAAAATTGTTGATGAAGTTGTTTTCTTGAAAATTTCTCCATGAAAGTATGGAGTCAAAGTGTTGACTGCTCCGAGTGCAAAATGATTTTCATGTTAAGATTAGAAATACTTTTGTTCATCCAAAAAATCTCAAATTTCATTTGCATAATCTCTAAAACCTCCTAAATATATTTAAAACTTTTATATTTTTTCTGTTATTTTCTCTACTCGAACTCTATATGAGGCTGGTCAAATTGACCAATCTCGTAACCACCAAAGAAAAATTCAAAATAAATCTAAAATACCTTTTTTTCTCCAGAATGACTTCAAATTGTCACATGAGACTACATTTCTGTATTCTAAATAACTTTAAAGTCGTAACAGTATACAGTATTAATTTTATTGTTTTATTACCCTTTGAACTGTATCAAGCTAATATTTCCACCATAAAATTTGTAAATCACTTGGTGAATGTGCAGCTCACATTACCCCTATCGAATGACATACAGCACAGGCTATTCGCAAGCTGTTCTCAAGCATACCTCATGAACAATTTTTATTATTATTATTAATTATACCTAATCTAACCGAAAAAGTTTCTAATTTTTACATTTTAGTTACTTTTATAATAATAAATATAGAATACACAAGAAAAACAAGAAATAAAGTACTTACCTGGGTCTTCTTTTTTTCTTTTTTTTTTGCTGTTGATTATCAATGAAACTTAACCCTACTTTTTTATTCTGATGGTACTGCTGTGCTAAATCGTTTATTTAACTAAATAATGCACCAAAGAACACAGAATAATAACATAGAAAAAGCAGACAATGTCCCATAACTATCACAATTTGTCTGAATTTCTATGTGATAAGAGCTGTTTAAAATTCAGCTAAGCTCATCAATGTGTTTCCAGTGGGAATAAAGTTTGAACTGGAAGCAAAATAGACAATTCTCTGTACAGAAAACAACATAATATAATACGTCATTTGATAGATAAAAACCTTGGCTTTCTATTGGTTATAAACAATATAGTATTAAACGTCAGAAAGAACTATTGGCAATTTATGAAAGAGACGATGTGACAAGTGGGCGTGGCAGGATGGGTCTGATTTCTATTTTATGGCTCTGTAACCAAATAAGATTGACTGTTATAAAAACAATGCTTTGTCTGAGTGATGCTAACATTATAAAGAGTAAATTACATTAAATTTTTATACTTCTCGAAAGGGTGGTAAATAAATTAGAGAAGAGGGAATACCTAGAGAGCAAATGTCACAATTCTTGTACTAGGGAAAAGTCAGGATGTTTTTTAACATTGCATTATAAAATTAAAAACTTAAAACTTACATTATATTAAAACTTGAATTATTAGTTACATTTTTATGCCAAATTTATTAGTATACCATGATAAGAAAATAGTTTAAATTTTTAATCTTACTCACTTAAACCATGTGACGTGTAGGAAAAGCTGCTCATAGCAAAAGTGTTAACTACGTTTATAAAAGAATATTTGACTCATGATAATATTGAACACATTTTTTAATTTCAGTTTTAAAAGTAGGTTTTAATATTAAAATTGTAATTGAAATTAAATACTCTTAAAATTTTAAAGTCTAAATATTTGATAAAATATACAGAATCTAGGTTACTCACCTTTCTGTATTTTGCCACACGTTATAAGCTTTTAAACATTTAAATTGAAAAGTCAATATTGAACCATTATCTAATGGTTAAACATCAGTTTATAAGTGAAGACTGGGAATTATATTTATTTAATCATAAACTTTTTATACATCTCTTATTTTTACCTTCGTAATGAAAATGTTTTGCAACCAAACTTGATTGAAAGGACACTGATATAAAAGATCTTTAACTAGTGTGATATCACTTTTCATATACTTCAGTTTCCATTACTACATTCTCAGTTTGTTTTATTTGATATTCTTTACACTAAATATTAAGACCGTTGATTCTTGCTGCTTGTTAGTTATTTGGTAGATGCACATTAAAACAATAAAAACAGCCTATAAGTTCTATTTTCATAAAACTGAGCAAATTGTTTATTATGTTATATCAAGTTTTTGTTTTTTGTATTATTTTTATACCACTTCTATGCAGGAACGTCGAGAGCATATTACAGCACGGGCCTTGGGGCAAACATCCTCTCCGAGGCCCCTTTCTCTCTCAATTTTTTAACATTTTCAAGAATTTATTAAAAAGAAGATCCTAAATTAGGACAGCAATGAGCTCAACCAGAAAAATCATAGCAGCAACCGTTTTTACCTCACAGTATAAGCGTAAAAATGTTAATAAAGTAACGACAAATATCTATTAAATCTATAAAGTAACAAATACATATTAATTATTACTCAAATTATTATTTCAGTCATTCTTAATGTATCAAGCAAG